CCCCAAAACCCCAAAACCCCAAAACCCCAAAACCCCGTGATGATTTATATTAATTGAAAATAAATTGAGACAGATGGACATTAACCCAAATGAAGGTAAACGAGCTTCTTATTCATTATAGTAGATGATGGATTCAGAGTCACATTCAACCAAGATAGAACAGATATTTACCTAGACCATGTATGACAACTTCTCACACATTTAAAAGATTTCTAGAGCTTCCTGAGGACTTAAAAGATGATTGATCCGTTAACTATTTTAAATAGAGCGCAGATGATGAAGAGTTAGAAGCAATCACCCATTCTTATGATGAAAAGCCACTTCCACTTATCCAGGATTCAAATAAAAACCTCAAGCCTATCTCAAGGTATAACGTCTTTTTCTACATACCGGCTATATCGAAAATTTATACCAGAAATAGGTACACAAATGAGACTGATAGAGCTCATAAATAAGTCAGATTCCTGTGTGACTTATTGTCCTTGCCCAGATCTCAAGAAGTACCTGGATGATAGTAATATTCACTCCCTTTCAAGTATAAAATTCAATTTAAAACATCTTGAGGGTAAAGAAATCGAGAAAGAGCAAATCCAAGGGTACTTTGACATAAAATTATAGCAAGAGCGCTTCAGAAATGAACCTCACAAGCGACCATAAGGCAGAGAATAACTGAATATGATTGTGCCAGGAGAGGCAAGAGTAATCTTCTAGAAGCTATATTTCTTTAGAAAGCCCAGATAAATACAAGTACTCAAAGAAAAACACAGGAAGCGCCAAGAGCAGGAATGCATATTCCAGTAAATTCAGTTCATCAAGTGTTTTTAGAGATGAATTTTATTAACAAAGCATATAAGAATTCTAAAATGACAAGTTCTCACCACCAAGTACCTTCAAATGGAAAGAAAAATGATACAAAAAGTATATTTCCTTCTCTAAAACTGCTAGAGTCCACCTCAAAAACTAGAAATAGGAAGTTAAGGAATAGGGTTCCGAGGTCAATTAAGAAGCCTTCCACCAGCTTTGAGAAGAATAGTTACACAAATAGTAGGATATGTGCTAATTCTTAGTTAACATCCCAACTACGATGACTCCTAAAGTTCAAGATGACAGCAATTCTACTCCAATAATATCTATTATTTCTGAAGAAAATAGAGTGATTGTTTTACAAGAAGAACAGTCACAGAAAATTAAGAAGAAGGTATATTCCCTGATATTTTCTTGCAGTTTGGTTGCTAACGAACACTTTTAGAAACCAAAGAAGAAAATCCCTCATAAGTCATATTTAAACAAGGAAGAGACACCTCAAGAGAGGGATAATAGACTTGAAAGACGTAGGTCAAGATCAGAGAGATCCCAAAGTGCTAATTCTAAGAACCAGAGTAGCATCTTCAACCAAGAATACGAATCTAGTAAAGGAGAGAATGATGAAGAGGATAGCCCTAAGGAGGAATTCTTATGTCAAAAACAAAGCTCTATAGATCCTAATGAAGAAATCCTCTTCATTGCTAGGCAGTATAGTGACTCTAATAGTCCTTTAAAAGAGCCTCCAGAGATAGAAGAGAATCATCCTCTTGAAGTTGACCAACAAATTGTCCAAGAGAAACCAGTTGAGGAGATTAAAGAAGAAAAGAAAAGTGAAAATGCAATTGATCTCCTCAATGAGAACCAAGAGCCAACACCAGTTCCTCAGCAACCTCAAGAACAAGTTCCAAGAAATAATAACCAGGATATTTCTCCTAGTAAAGAAAATAGTGTAAAATCTTTATCCCAAGGATCCGTTATTGAGGAGTCCAGATCTAATGTAGAGAAGGAAGGAGAAGGAGACATTCTTGATACAATTACACCTCTAGAGATTGAGCAGTTCAATGAGAGACCAAAGAAGATCCGTCATAACTTCAGTGAATCCAACAGAGGAAATTTGTAAGAACTCTAACTAACTTTTAGCTGAAGATTAGAAGAAATTTCAGAGAACCCATCTCGAGAAGGAGAGGGATTTGAAGGCAACAAAGCCACTAGGTACATCTCTCATTACCTGTATAGTAATGAAGAGAATGATCCCAGCAACGAGAGGTCCCATGAACTGAGAACAGTCGATATAGAAGCCATAAATTCTGAAGAATCAGAGGAAGATCTTGAAAATTACCCCATGAAGACCATCTATGATTGGAAAAGAGATGCAGTGAACAATGAAAATATAGAAATCAGTCGGAGATCAGGATCAAATTCAGTGATCAATGGTTCTGATCGTAAAAGAAATATATCCAAAAGGCTCATGAAGTAAAATTCGATTCCTAATACATAGTGATCTAAGAAGAGATGTGCATGTCACTAGTATGATTGAGATAACCTTTAGACAAGAATTTAAAATAACTTTGACCTTATTGAGTTCCTCCACTCAGACAGAGAAGGCAGATCTGAAAGCAAAGAGGAAGACAAGTTTGAATCGAGGTTAGGCAGAGAGGAGAATAAGTCCACTCATTTCGAAGCTCTTTATCCAGAAGCCAGGTACGGTAACAGACATAGAGAGCTAGAGTCCTCTGAAGAAGAATACAGTGAAGGCCATGATACCACTTATTACAGAAATATGCAGGAAAGTGTTCAGAGATTAAGGAAATGCGACCAAGAAGAAAGCAATAGCTCATTTTGTAAACTGATAGATTGATATATTAGCAACTATAAATAAAAATACACAGAATTTCAGAAGAGAGTTCAGCCAGAATAAGCTGATCAACTACAAAAGTAAAGTGGCGAAGTACAATAAAGATGTAAGCTGCCCTAAAGTTTATGGTTCTTATAAATTTAGATCATCAGAAAAATAGGTAAGCTTAGAAACAAAGACTGTAGAAAATGAGGTAAGAACTATTGTCTAACACTTACAGGCAGCTAGAGTCATCCAAATTAATTTTTGGAACTATCTCAATAGAAAAAGACAGGAAAGAGACAGAAATCATCATTTTTCAAATTTAAGAATGCAGCATAGATATGTTGACCAGCAGGTAAGATTTCTACAAGTGATATCTAGGATGTTGAAGTCCAGACTGACGATATCCCAATGCTCAGGATGATGGATCAGTTTGACCCTGACCAATTTAAGAGATTTATGGAGATGATGTGTGCCAGTTACCTCGCTCATGCAGAAGCTAACGGACAGCAGTAATACCCTTCCAAATGATTTTTTAAATTCCAACTTTAAGTTTTTTAATTGGGGTTTTGGGGTTTTGGGGTTTTGGGGTTTTGGGG